TAAAATATGTAGAGTGTTTTAAAGTCAGTGTTCCTGTGAGAGAACTGCACAGGACTGGTTGATTTTAGGCCATCACTCACTAGACTTTTCTTCCCAGCAGGTGATGGGGGCTTAAGGAAATCAGACACTTCACAGGGCAGCACAGCCCCAGTTAGATTTATAATCAAGTAACGGAGATTGGATATTTACACACAAACACACACACACACACACAGAGAGAGACAGAGCGTGCGCGCGCGCGCGCGAGAGAGAGAGAGAGAGAGAGAGTAGATCTCTGTTTTCCTCTACCTAGGGCCCTTCTACTTCCCTACACACTCTGTCATTTCCCAGTTGATTATTTCAGTCCTATGGAAAAGCAGTTTCCCGAGAAAATAGCTAATTTTATCGTGATAAACTTGCCTATCATATTGTAATATAGATTTCTGTTTTGTCCCAGTAATCCTAAAGCTGCAAGGATATAAGGCACATTAGTGTTATCACTGATTTCACATTAGCTTTCCTTCAGAATCTTTAACAACGTGTGAGCTCATTTGTATCTGCTCAGAATGGGCTCTTAGTTTCTCATTTAAAGCTAATAGAATTACCTGCTATTTATCTCAGAGAACTCTTAGATCCTAGCCTGAGATTTACATTTACAAACACATTTTCTCAGGGGAGAGTGTGCTCTCTCTCTCTCTCTCTCTCTCTCTCTTCCTCACCAGCTTCCCTTCCTTTCTCCTTTCCATCCTTCCTTACTCTATCCTACCCTCCCTCTCTCCCTCCTTCCGTCTCTCTGTCCTTTTCTTCTTTCTCAGTCTGCTTCTATTTTGCTTCTGTCTGTTTTCACCACTCCTTCTCTGTCTGTATAGATCTCTTTTTATTTCTCTTTTCTCTTTCTTTTCTACTGAGTATCTATCAGACAACTCACTGCCTGTAACAGTGAATGAGACTGGGCTTTAGAAGGGCATCATTGGGTAGTTTCCTGGTTCTTGTGTCCCTACAGAAAGACTGGAACAGAGATCCACAGTTAATGCTGAATCAAGGGAAATCTATTAAAATGAGAATATCTTTCAAGGGGGAGCAGGCCAGAGCAGGGATACTTGAACATCTATCTTGAGGACTGGGATGTGCTGAGTTAGGGCTTTTATGTGACTTTACACTAACTTTCTTAGACCACTCTTACAGCATAGATCTCACTCATACTCTGTCGTTTACATTAAGTTTTACATAGATCCTTGTGGGTTAAATGCCCCATTAGTATCCTATTAATTTTTACTTATTTAGTGTGTTTGGGGTCAGTGCATGTTCATGTGCCACAGCCAACATGAGGGGATCAAAGAAAAACTTTCAGGAATTGGTTTCTTGCACCATGTATGATCAAACTCAACTCATCAGGTTTCTTGACAAACACCTATACTCATTCAGCCATCTTGATATCAAAAGTGTTTATTTAGCAGAGCTGGAAATCAAGGCCAGGACATTGTGCATGGTGGAAAAAGAATCGCCGGCTAATCTATGGCCTCAGCCCGCTGTCTTAAATCCCCTTCTATGTGTGGACATTTGTTTAGTAGTATGATGCATCAGAGGTTGCTCTCAGACACTCTGGAATACTGCTCTACATTTCAGCCAGCCTTTGCGGGGAAACGAAGAAAGTCCCAGCTCTAATCTTGGTGATTTTTGTTTGTTTGTTTGTCTGTTTTTGATGTTATTTTATGTGTTAATTCTGAATCCTACCCATGAGGCCTTCCAGAACTTTTTGTCCACCCTGACCTCCTGCTTTACCAGTAGTGGCTGTGTGTGCCCTAGACTGATTGACTGTCCTGATACCCTGATACCCTTTGACTTTGATACACTCTTGTTCACCTTATGACCGACATGTGTGCGGAGTGGTTTTACATGGTATTACCCTGATCCATTGTTTGAGTACCTGAACTGGAAAATCCAGTTGGTTAGGCACAGTTTGTTTAACTATACTCTCCCTGCATGTACTTGGGGGGGAGAGGGGAGTTGGGGGGGGATGGACTAAATTGTCATTTTGATGTCATCTGTTCTGTGACTAACCCTATCCTAGTGGTCACTTCTTACACAATGTAGAACTCACCCCAGTTTAACCAGTAGAAATTGGAATCATTCAAGTAACTCCCTAACACTCTCTCTCCCTCAATCTCTCCTTCTCTCTCTCTCTCTCTCTCTCTCTCTCTCTCTCTCTCTCTCTCTCTCTCTGTATGTGTATGATAATTCTTACTTTGCTGTGAACAATAAAGTCTATTCCCAGGAAGTAACTTCCAATTGGTAGCTTTGAAAAAGGTATTCTGCTTTCTCTGTGGTGATCCTCTTTTGATTTGTATTGATGTATAGTATAATGGTCTTTCCAACAACATTGAAAAATGTAAATTGGCTTTCTTTTGTTTGATACATATATATTTTATAATGATTTATTTTAAGCGTGGCTGAAAAATTCATCTGTGTATGTGTCAGTGTGTGTGTGTGTGTGTGTGTGTGTGTGTGTGTGTGAAGCATGGGACATATGTACTGAATAAGCATTTAATAGCTGCAGCTTTTATTAGAAATCTATATTAGACTTATAAGGATTGTGTGTCTTAGCAGTCCACCATTGTACTGACACAAAAATGAAATTTTAAGTTTCTCCAAACTTCTTTTTGTACATCACGGATTGTTTTATTTTCCACCTATGTATAAAGTCTAAGCAGGCTATTAGGAAATTGTACTTTGTATAGGTGATAGGGATTCTTTCAAGGACCCAATGATATAGTACAGTTTCCTATATGCCCACATTTCCTGTGTGCCCACACTCAACAGAAAATCAGATTGCCATGAAGGGCGAATGAACTACAATTCCAATTAAGAGAATTGTAGGCTATGTTGACCTGCTTATAAAATGATTGGTTTCTTTCCCCCTTGTGTATTAGCACAAATGACAGAATGCACAAACTCAAACTATCATTGGTTTTCTATAAGGTCGTTGGGGGTTGCTTGAGAAAAGAACCATATCACTTCTATTAAATAATTTAATAATCTGTTTCATTACCAGTCAAACAACAGGTTCAATCAACTGCACTTCTCTGGTTTATTGAAGGTCTTCTGTATCTAAATGGCTGCTAAATAAATCTCTATTTATGCTTCCTACCAGCCTTTCTCCTCTACTGGATGGATGTTTTTCTTCAATACAGTATCAGGCTTATCATCGTTAATCATCGCCCTCTGTTTTCCACCTTTTGAGTCCGTCCCTCTTTGTATTACAACTCCTGCATCTTTATTAGTCATTATCAGTTCCCACTTACCTTCACAAAATTCACTGGCTCTTATTTCAAAGCCCTCTGACCACACTTCGGCCCGTTCTTTATACAATTCCTTTTCATTCCGGGCCCAAGCCTTCTCCCTGCTCTTACTCTAAGTGCAATTGTCCTGTTGCCTCGTTTTTCTTTCCTTGTCATCCCCTGCCTGGTTTACTTTATGTCATATGCATGACATAACTTCCAATAACAAAGATCCACTTGAGTCCCTTTCTCTCTGACAGGGGTACAATCTGAATCTCACAGCCCCTTTCTCGCATGCCCTTCCATGCGGTCACAGTTCCCAACACTCAGCCTCAGCCTCAGCACCAGTTCCATGCAGTGTCCATCATTGTGCCTGAGGGGAGGGCACCACTTGTCACAGCTCATGAGAGAAGGCTGCTCTCCCTCATGCCACTCTTGTACTAAACGAGGAAATCATTAGTTTCTCTCCATCGCCTCCATTTTTTTCTCATGGGTCTGACACTTCATTACTGGATTCTGGTACTGTTTAGAAACCAGCTTTCCCCTGAGAGAGAGAGCTCCTTAGGATGGGACAGATATTTCTAGATGTTGTCTAAATTCTAAAACCCATTTCTAAATGAGGCAGGTGGCAGCTATAGACAGGTTTTCTAAATGTTCTCCACAGTAGAAAGGAAGCTTTAAGAGAGGGTTGGAAGCTTGGATCTTGGGTTTCTTTGTGGTTAGGTTTGTTGTTTTTGTTGTTTTGTTACCCCAGTTAAAAGATTAATCTTTTGTGGGTATTTTCTTTCTTTATATTTCTTTCTTTTTCACATTTTTTAGATGTTCTTGCTATGCAGGCTTACCTAACCTAGAACTTAATATATTTAAATTAGACTGACGTCTACGTTGTGGTCATCTTCCTGCATCAGTCTCCTGAGAGTAGGTTATAAGAGTTTATTGTTTGAAGAGTCAGTCCTCCACTGATGGTGTCCTGGGTACTGTGTGTATCATCAACTTAACAGAACCTGTAGGCACATAGGCTGAGTGAACCTTAGTTGAGGAGTTGTCTCTACCCGACTGGCCTCGGGACGTATCTGTGAGAGATTTTCATAATTGATGATTGTTGTGGGGTGGCTCGGCCTAACTGTGGGGTGTATCATCCCTACACCTATAGATCTAGGCTACAGAAAACAGCTAGCTGACTATGAGCATAAGCCAATGAGCTTGTTCCGCCTTCATGCTTTCTGATTTGGTTCATGCTTGAGCTTCCTGCCTTAACCTTCCTCAATGATGGGCTGTGTCCAGGAAGTATAAGTGAAAGAAATCCCTTCCTTCCCCAAGTTGCTTATAGTCATGGTGTTTATCACAGCAACAGAAAGCCACCTAGAAAGTAATTAACTAGAAACTTGGATGTCAGCCACCTGAACTAGCCATCGACTCGAAGGAAATGGAGAAATGGAAGACTTAAGTTTAAGATAATTTAATCTCAGTTCTCAGATCAAATGTATTCAATGACTTTCTTATTGGTCTTACAAGCATGGTTTTCCACCATAGTATGAGATAATACCTTCCTTTGCCCACCAGTTCTGCTCATGCTGTGGGAAGCTAAACTTAAAAGGCCCTCTCTGACACTGGCATTTCAGAGGTGCCAGCTTTGCAGTGAGGTCAGTATTGGAGGTCAGTATCGGCTATCGACAGATGTCTAAGTTCACGATACTCTCAGCGTCCTCACTAAACACCTGCCTCTCTGTGTTTGTCTTGCAGGTGAGACGATGCGGATCGCCTCCTCTGAGTTTGCTGATGACCCTTGCTCTTCAGTCAAGCGTGGCACCATGGTGCGGGCAGCACGGGCGCTGCTGTCGGCTGTGACACGCTTGCTAATCCTGGCTGATATGGCAGATGTCATGAGACTTTTATCTCATCTGAAAATTGTAAGTATGTAGACCTCGTGAAGACCTCTGGGTGGGGACAGCTGGGAAGGATTAGACATGCTCCACTGCTCAGAGATAGGCTGATTAAACTCGCTGCCTTGTGTAGCACCAAATTTTTCGAATAACTCAAATTTAGCTCACAGGGCTTTCAAAAAGCTAAACTTCATCGAAGTCAGCTCCCTACCTCCAAACATAGAACTTGAATTCATTGCTTCGTGGAGTACATGCATAGTGTTCTTGAAAGGAAAGAGCCTGGCATATGCTACTTTATTTGTGCCCATGTTAATATGTATTAATATATATTTGAACCTATTGTAGTCTGACAATAAAACAGTGCCCAGTTGATATCTCTTCGCAGAGCCTCCCAGGTCCCTGACAACTGTCACAAACCCTGGACTCTTCTCCCAGACTTTAGATATAAGGTACAAAGCACAGAGTTTCCCTGGGAACCATATGATGGCTGGCTGGGTCCCGTTCTTGGAAAATACTGGCTCATCCTGGCCCTGCCTGCTTCTGTTAGGGTCTTCTGTTCTTCAACAGAAAAGAGAACACGTTGTACTGGGGGAAAGTGGTACAGGAGGTGAGTAATACGAGCTCATCTCACCTCACCTCTGCCAGATTCGTTTGATTGGAGTGACCAGGACATCAGAACAATCAAGTCCTGTTACCTGTCGAGAGATTTTTGTTGGAATTTACTAGACTAGATCCCAGAATAAGGCCCAAGACTCCCAGTTTATATGTAGAGACTCTTCAATTTTTTGCAAAATCTGGTTTTCTCTTTGAATCTGTGATTTTAACCTTAAAGCAGGGTGAAACATTTCATGTTTTCCAGTCAGGTTCCTGAGAAGCCAAGGAACACAAAACCACAAAACAGAATGTGCTTGGGTGGGTGGTGTTACTAAATTTTTCTCAAAGAATAGGCCCTCAAATGCTATGTAAGGCTGTTGCAAACTGCATGAGGTGTATAATTCAAGGAACAGCTAGCTTTGAAAAAAAAAAAAAAAGGGCAGTAATATAATGTTAAGTTAAACTGTCTGCCCCCTAGATTCAAGCTGACATGGGTAGTGTGTACAGTCAACTTGCTTGCTGTTGGTGCCGAGCATATATGCTGTCTTCCCATGCATGGTGATGTTCCTGGAGCATTTGTAGGCTACAGCACTGGCTCGCACTTCTCCAGCCCCTCGTCTGCTATATGTATCTTTTGTAATACTACAACTTTTTGTACTCAACTGTGATGGAGAAAAGGTTTTATGTTTTTTTTTTTTTTATGTTACACTCTACTCAGACTTCAAAGCAACATTTTAAGAAAAATATTGTTCTGCCGGAAGTCTTTCTCAACAGCGGGTCAGTGAGACTGAAGCTAAATAAATTAATGAAACACTCAATTTTTCACTATAGGCAATGCTACCCCAGCTGTTGGGTCATGATGGCAGGCAGCCCACATGAGGAACATGCTCTTTATATTTTTAAAATTTGTTCATTTTTGAGAATTTCATACATGTGTACTGTATTTATATCATTTGTACCCCTCCCTCTATCACCTCCATATCCTCTCTTGACTCACATTTTTTGAATTTATGGCCTTTTCTTCTTCAATTATTATTGTTACATGTGTGTGTGTGTAAGTAGAAAGGTAGATGGACTGACGGACAGGCAGGCAGTCAGTTATCTAACCTACTGTGTTCATCTAGTGTCGTTTATATGCACATGGGTTTATAGTGCTGACTGCTTGGGATTGGGTAACCTATCAAGGTGCTTTTCCTTGGGGAAGACCTGCATCAGCTGCACTTACCTGAATCTCTACATCTAAGGGCAGGATCTTTTGCAATAATCAGATCTCACTGAGGCAACTATATTTTTGAGATTTCAAGGGTACAACTTCCCTCTTCGACACTAAGTCATTCTTACCTGCTCTACTGGCTCTTATAATCCTCCCTTTCTGGAATAGCCCATGGATGTCCTGTCTCTTGGTCATCTTGTTTTCCCTTTATGGTCCCTGAAACTTAGATATGGAGACTACACGTGGAGCAATTGGTGCTGCGCGACCCACAGTCACGTACTCTCTGCACTCTACCCAGTTGTTGATCTCTGCCGTGCTCTCCCATCTGTTGAAAAAGAACTTTCTTTGATTAAGATAAGAGTTAAACTTCTTTGTGGCTATACTTTTATATATCTAGGATGCAGTTATAAATTATACTAGTGTAGAAAAATGTCAGCTAGTGGGTTTTTCCTCTGGGGTCTATGACCGCTCCAGCAATCTGTGTCTATGTGCCTATTGGCCTGGGGTTCAGTTGATAGAATGTTTGCCTAGTGCACACAAAGTTATGGGATTACTCCCTAGCACCTCATAAACCTGCATAGGGCACAACTCTTAGAGAGGAAATCATGAGGATCAGAAGTCAAGGTCAGCTAAATCTAAAGCTTACTGCCAGCCTAAGACACACAAGATCCTAAATAAAAATAAAATAAAATAAAAATAAAAATAAAGTAGAGCTCTAAATAAAAAAGATGGTAAGTTAATGCACCTAAGTAATTGATCCCAAGTCTGTGACACGGTCTACAACTCCAGATCCTGTCTGTGATCAGCTAGCTTGCTCCCCACTCCCAGCCCATGCTGCTCTTTTGACCAGTGCTGTTGACTGATTCTTCTCCAACCGTTTGTAAAGTCAATTGCATTCTGTCCTTCACATAGCAGTGAAGGGAGTTAAAGGAAAGGATTTAGCACAAAATCATGCAAAGGTCAATTCAGCAACGTTAAGCAGACCTGTCAGATTGTCAGTAGTAAAATTAAAAATGATCGTATACTAGATAATGCATTTGTTCTCAGACCTCAGCAAAAGAGGAGGAGGGATGTTGCCATCTTGTGGGCATATAGAAAACTGCAGTTTCTGGGTCTAGCACAGGGTGAGGGCTGTGTCCAACTTTAGATTCAGATCAGTCCTGGTGTCATTGCATGAACTACAATCTCAAGCTAACCACCCTGCAAAAGCTGGCACTTCGGATAAAAATCATTATAAATAAATGTGGTGCTTTTTTCTGAGTAATTTTGCTAGTAAAAAGCATAGCTTCTTGAGATATTGCATATATCTATTTATTTTATAAATTTAAGGTTAAAAACAATAAAAGGCTGCTAACTAATGGCTTCTGGGGGTGAGAAAGCTGGCTTTCATCAGATGCAGACCCTGATAGATCGCCCATGTTCCAGGGCATGGCTCCAGACCCACACACATACACGGAGCACTAGTTAGACTCTCTTAAAACCAGAGGCCATGAAGATAGGAGAGGGACATAGTGAGGGATGTCTGGAGGAGGTAGAGAAAGCAGTGAAGAGGAAATATGATAAAGATCTGATAAAATTATTTGAAATATGTGTGAGATTCTCAAAGACTTAGTAAACATATATTTAAAAACACAAAAGTGTATGTATAAGATCAACTAGCCAAAATCTCAGCCTGGGAGTATGAGGAAGGCATACAGTCCTACAATCTGCTGAGGAGAGTTTACAGTCAATAGCTTCCAGGGGAAAGCATCAGTTTCTGCGATGGACTCCACTTTCCAATAGTTTCTCCTACACCCATCCACAGTAAGTGAACTCTGGGTTTTAACAGAGACCACATTAAATGGAAAGAAATAGGATTGAGGGAGACGAGAGAGATTTGGGAGAAGGGCAAGTGTCAGCAGACTTGGTAAAGTATGCCTTTTGCGCATATGGAATTCTCAAACTATACTAAAAGAGAAACCCAACCAACCAAAAAAACAGACCACAACACCAATGTTTGTACATGTGTTAACGCAGCAGATTAGAAACTATCAGGCTGCATCTTTTTCATTTTTTTTCCAAATTAACATTCCTCTGTAGCATATAGTGATATAACCTGGATGAAAGACTGTCAGTTTCAGTATTTCTTGCAGTTTTGTTGTTGATGTGATTTAAGTAACTGACAAGCTGTCACTTGAAGGAGGAAGAGCATATTTTGGCTCACAGTTTGAGGGGATACAGTGTTATGATTCATGATCTGCACCATGGAACCAATGTTATTATTTATTATTTGTGGTGTGGATGACCCTGGTAGTTCGAGGTAGGAGACGTAGGAGGGTAGGAGACAAACAGATACACCATGCAGAGAGAACTTGGATATAGAGTTTATTTAGTGTTATTGGGAAAGGTATAAGGATAAGGGGGTTATGCGGGAAAGAGAGAAAGAAGGAAAGAGAGGGAGAAAAGAGGAAATGGGGAGATGCAGAGGTTCCCTCTTCAGAAGAAGAAGAAAGAGAGGGGGGAAGAGGAGGTGCAAGATCAACTTCTCTTCTTGGGAATGGGGAGATTGAAAGTAGGTGGAGTCTGGCTTTTAAAAGGATGGGCTACCAGGTGACAGGGCAGGCCAACAGAATTATAACATACAGTCCATCATGAAGTCTGGGAATGTATGGCTGTGGTTAACAGCATGACAACAAGTGTGTTGTAGTTTTATCTTGGCCTCACATCTCAGAACAGTAATTATGGGAATGTTAGGAACTGAGGAAAGTTTATAAAACCTCATCCCCATGCCCTAGTGACCATTTTCTCTGATGAGGCTCCACCTCCTAAAGGTCCGGCCACCTTTCAAAGCAGCATCATTGACCAGAAAGCCAATGGGGAGAGAACAGTTCCCCTTGGAGCCACAACAAGTGGTGTGTTCATCAGAGTCAAGAAGTGATTCCAGGCTTTTTCAGACCCAGGCCAGCTGGCCTTGGTGAGTTCCCGATAGAACATCCCCATTGTCTCAGTGTGTGGGTGCACCCCTCGCGGTCCTGAGTTCCTTGCTTGTGCTCTCTTCTTCTGCTCCTGATTTGGACCTTGAGAATTCAGTCTGGTGCTCCAATGTGGGTCTCTGTCTCTGTAAACCTGTCTCTCTGAACATAGCGGACAATGAGAACTACTGAGACCTCAAGAACAATGGCAATGGGTTTTTGATCCTACTGCACCTATTGGTTTTGTGGGAGCCTAGGCAGTTTGGATG